AAAACGGGTGGTCCGGAAGTTGAAATATAGTGGACAACAGAATGCTTAATGATTTGGTTAAATTGTAAGGGCCGTGCGATAGAAGAAATTACAGAAAGTAACAGATGATACGGAGAAGACGAAGGGATTGCTGAAATGTGTGGACTAGGGGATGAAAGGGTGCGAGTAGACCATTTGCAGTATAAAGATGTCTTAGGGTCAACTAGTTTATGGGATTTGGTGTCAATGAGGAGACCAAAAAAGGAAAAAAAAATCAGCGCCGAGAATGGTGGTGTGAACGTCAGCGATAGTAAATATCCACCGAAATGAACGTCGTAGACCCAACTCTAGAGTGAGGCATCGTTGACCAAACGTTTTAATGGGAGAACTGTTAGCTGCTTGAAGGAAAAATTGAGAGTTTGGTGACTTACGGTCAGTCAAAGTAGGTGGGATCAGAGAAATTTCGGAGCCCGTGTCTACGAGGAAGTTACGGCAAGATCTCCTATCGTAAATGTGGAGTAGGCAACTGGGGAAGGATGAGCCGACCACGTTCGTCACCCTTACTGGCCGGCGGCGAAGTTTTCCGATGCCGACTTCTTGTGCCTGCACGGGGATCGACAATGACGGGCATTTGGACCATAATTGTGGCGATACCAACAAAGACCATCAGTTGAAGTTTGGTTGGGAGTGGGAGATCCTGGGCGACAAATAGTCGAAGTACTACGAGGGTTGTAGACACGAGTGGCCCGGAGTTGGGCAACTTCGAGGGTGAGGGCATCCAGGCGTCGGACGACATCTGCCATAGAAGGTGTCGTTACGGCCCGAGTAGAAACATTCACCAAGACGGGTGGTTGAAAGTACTCGAGTATCCGGTCGGCTGTCTCAGTCAGCGTTTGAACTGACGAGGAAGGAATTTTGGGTGCAAGGATAGCTTGCACGGATGAGGGCAGCCGCTGGAAGAAAAGCTGTTTGAACATGGTGCCGTCCAGCTGTTGTCCCTCAGCTAGCTGCTCCAGGCGCCGAAGGAGCTGGGTTGGCTTCCTGTCACCAAGGTCCTCCTCGGAAATTAAAAGCTGAAGGCGGTTTTGTGTTGATAGAGACACGGGAGATGAGGGCCTCCTTTAGTGTAGTATAGGGAGTCTCTGTGAGTGGACTGTCTATAATATCACGAAGGTCTGTTGCAATCTCCAGTGGCAATGCGGCTACGAGATAATGGAATTTAGTTTCTTCCTTCGCGATTAGCCGCAAAGCAAAACGGGATTCGAGGGTTCGCAGCCAAAGGGCTATGTCGCTAAGCCAGTAAGTTGGCAGGTCGAATGTGTGTATGCCGCTGATGCCCTGGCCGTCAGTCATGATGTCAAAGGTCACAAGATATGCAGGCGACAAAGGGTTAGTCACTGGAGTGACGGGGTATGGAATTAAACGCAGTCTTTCTATTGGTTAACAATAAGAGGTGTGAATTCGCGAATCGGCGGACAAACGTTGCGGCGAGAAAATGAGGGCGAAACAGTGTAGCAATTGGTAGTGTGGGATACGATGTAATCCAGCTGGATAATAGTCGATAAAACGTATCCCAATGAATATAAACTAGTAGATATGATAAGGCGTGAAAGGCCAGATTGTTATAGATAATTTAATGTAGTGTTGAATGAGTAGAATATAAGAAATGAGTAAGTGACTCCCAGACAAGTGCAGTCCAGCCATGAATGGGCCGGAGTCCAGAGGCCCAGTCGGGCAAGTAGATCACCGGGTCCGGACAACTACAACCGAACAGTAGATCATCGGTTCCCGGAGTGACTGAGCGTAAACAATTCCTCGCAGTAAGCTCCTGGCCTTGAGAAGTGGTTGGCCAGCGAGGCCAGACAGGTGATGACCTTGAACGGAGGTTTTGACAATCTGAGGCGTGTGAGCAAAGCATGGCTAGGAAATACAAGGTCGCTACAGTAGCAATTTAAAGCGCAATTAAAAACTGGAGTCATCGATGTAGGATACGATATAGTCTATCCTAGAATCTGAGCTAGAAGTATCTATAGGAGATAAGGTTAAGATGGTTAACCCTAACACCTACAATCATTCAGGCCCTGGTTCC